TGGTGAAACCTTACAGATAATGTATGCATTGACTTACAATGGCGTCCAGCTTCCGCCTGTCCTCTTCCTGCGAGCTGCGGATCATGACCTGCTGGAGGAGCTTGCAGGCATCCTCGTACGCCTCCATGGCGCCCTCGAAGTTTTGCGCATTGTCGAGCAGGACAGCGGTATTCGCCTTTTGCAGGGCACGCGACAGCATCGTCTTCTTGTCTTTCTCTCTGCGCTCGCGTGTGCGGGGAGGCGTGCCCTGGTAGCTGTCGTCTAGCCTAGCGCTGGCGTTGCTCTCGTTGCGATGGTGATCCCTGCTGGGGCTGCGGACATGGGCTCTGCTCCCGGACCTGAACTGTTCTCTGCTCTGACTCCTGGAGTGGTCCCGCGAGGCGGCTGGTCTGTGGCCCGCACTCGGTGGGGGCTTTTGGACGGGATCCCTGGGTGCTGCAACGGAGGGTCTGCGTGCTGTAGAGGGCCGAGCTGCGCCCGAAGTGGAGTCGTGCCTTGGGTCAGCCTCCTGAAGGACCGCAGGCGACCCGAGGGGCGACTTGCCCAGCACCTTTTCGGCCTTGGTGGTGCGAGACGGGGGCCTCTGGGAGGGCGGCGAGGGCGTGGGTTTCGAGTTGAAGTAGTCGCGCTGCTGGAGGCCGGAGAGCAGGTTCGGGGTAAAGAGGCTAGAGGCCGAGGGCGAGTTGTTGGTGGTCGAGGTGCTCGTGGGGGTGTTGGGGTCGTAGACGGTCGAGGGCAGCAGGATCGGGGGCAGCTGGGGTACCTTTGGGGCGGCTGTCACGGCGGATGGGGGGTCGTATGCGGGCGAGCGTGGGCGGTGTCGGCGGGGGCTCGCGGTGGGCGAGCGAGGGGCAGAATTGGCGATGCGAGCGGGGGATTCGGGGCCATTGGCGGCAGTGGCAGGCGCGGCGGTGTTGGGCGTGGTGATGCTCAGCTTGCGCGAGAAACTCGGGTGGTGCTGGTGGTGCGGGTGGTCGCTCCTGCCGGCCTGGGTGCCCGGAGCCTGGGACCAGCGGTTGAGGTTGGCAGAGGCGGTGGCGGCGGCGGCAATGGCCTCTGCAGCGCCGTTGGCAGCGCTCGAGCGGCGTCGTGAGGTCGTGGCCGGGGGCGGCGTGGCCTGGATATTCATGTTGTCGGCGTCGACGTCGACGGGTGTCGAGGCAGGAAAGCGTGTCTCAGGCCAAGCCAGCGGTTAATGCACGGCGCATGCAGGCATGGTTGCCACAAGCAGGAACGCGCTCAGGCGGGCGGCGGAGGTGCTTGGAGGCGGTGCGGCGGGCGGCGTGCTCGCGAGCGGTGGTGCAATGTGCTGTGTATCTCGAATATGTCGTACGCAGCGACGAGCAGCCGCCTGTGGAGAGCACAGTGCCGCCAAGTCGCAACCCGCAAAGCCACCCAGGGGTCTTCCAAACCCGGCTTAGCCCAGAGGGTCTCTACCCCTGTCCTGCCCGGCCGACCCGGCTGCCTCTCTCTATCGTGCTAGCCAGTGCCCGGACGAACACCAACTGAGCCCACGACACGCTGCACGCAAATCCCTCGGCCTAGTCCCTCTGCTTTAGGGGCTCTAGACGTCCCGCCTCGCCATCGTGTCTGCAGCGGGCGGCCTCGTTGGGCGGCCTGAAGATTCCATTGCCTACTACGCTCCCAGACAGTACGTTTCAGATGGTCTTCCCAATTGGACCCTGGCCTCTGCTGCAGGAACAGACTAGCAGCTAGGCCCTGTGGCTGCGCTTGATGGATGCCCAGTCTGCGGCCTGCTCTACACACCTCCAAAGCACAACACCGGGTTCCTGACTTGCCGCAGAACTATCAATCTGCTCCATGACCCTCTCATCTGTGCCATCTGTGCCATCTCATCAGCCATCGGCGATCTGTAGTCCCTTCTTCTAGCTTGCCTTAGTCTACATCATGCTTCTTCCCCGTTCCCCGTTCGCCGTCCCCTCTCCACTTCCGTTTCCCATTGCAACAAAAACAAACGTCCAATGCTCAATCCCGACGGCGCCTCATAATCCTCCCGAATCCGATGCCGACAATTGCATGTCGTGCGATGGCATTGTTTACTCAACACGACGTGTCAAAAGTAACCTCTGACTACAAACCCAACCCGTTCGCAATCGCTTGCGCAAGTTGCGCTCATGGCAGCCCGACGCCCGTACATCGCAATTCGCCAATTCGGTCCGTTTGCCACGCGCTCCAGAGGCCCATGTCGCGCCTGCTATCAAACACGGTCCCAGCAGCGCGGTCGTATCGCGTATACGATAATCGACTGATACTGACACACGCCTAAACTTCCAAATCCCGTTCCACTTACGCCATTTCTGACACCAAAAGCATCGCAACAAGCAAATCTGCATCACCTAACTTCTCAACACGTGGCACATTGCTGGCTTCATGATTTCTTTTCGCCATTCTTCTCGCTACAGATACCTTCGTGTCTGTATTAGGACAGCCCGTCACCCTTCTCGCCTCCCCGCAGCCTTCTATAGGCTGCTTTGCCAGCCTTCATGGTCCGTCCCTGATCATGTCTGTTGTTTGGGATCCGCCATCTCTCGTTTCATGCATTACCGTTATCGCGTCATGGACATTGATCATGTCCAACCCTGCCAAACGCTCAGCTTCGTCAGCACTAGTCACCGTCTCTTCCGTCTTCCACTTCCATGTAGTGAACTTGTAATCACCCTTGCTATGCGTTACCATCGTTCTTCATTTTCAGTGCAAATCTGTCATCATGTCCTCCTCAGCTTCGAGGCCGTCGTCCCAAGCCGTGTCCATGGCGTCGCCGTTGTTGGTCTGCCTCTTGTTCAACCGCTTCTGATTCTCAACGTACTCCTTGGTAAGCGTCATTCGGTAGTCGGCGTCCTTGACTTGCTCGGCGAGCATGTTGGTACGGCGCGTCTGCTCAAACAGCGCTTGTTGTTGCTGCTTCTCACTCTTGGCCAGAGGTCCTTGCGTCGGGTCCAAGAAGAAACGTAGTACGATCCCCGCATTCGCCTTGTCCGTCTCCTCTAGCCGTGCGTTCAAGTGCCCATCCTTGATCAATGTGTCGATGTATCCGGCGATCTCATCCGCAGGTGCCCCCAGATGGTGCGCGATGTTTGAGACTGGAATTGCCGAGTACGTCCGTGACAGCCGCGAAACGTAAGCCCGTGTCTGGCTGCTGATGAGTTCGTTGACGAGACCAGCGTTGCCATCCTACACGTCTTGTTAGTATTCATGAAACAAACGTTGCACAATTTGCAGTGTATGATGACCATACCTCTGCCCAGACCTCACTACCCGCCTGCACCTGAGCCTTCAGCTTCGACATGTTGTCCAGCTCCTCATATGCGTCTGCCAGGGCTTCGTAGGCTTTCGACGCAGCCTTAATATCTTTGATCGCACTTCCGTTTGAGGTCCGTGGTGCAGTGCCCACCTGCGAATGTCAGCTTGGTCCGCGATATACTACTTGACTGTGATATACCTTTCCCTCTACGAGACAGCTCACCAACACCCACTTCTTGTACGCCTCCAGCATCAAGCCGTTCGCTGTTTTGGTCGTAGGTATAACCAGCACGTGCTCCAGAAATTGTTTCGCCTTCTTGAATTGCCGAAGGCCCAGATATACCTGAGCACCTAGAACATAGTACTCTTCTATATCCGTCAGCGACACCTTGTCTGAATGTCCAGAGTTCTGATGTATGTATTCCCCGCTGCTCGCGACGTCCGCACATGGTACTGAGTATTCGAGGCCGTCACGGACGACGTTGGCAATCTTCTGGGGGATGCTGTGGATGTAGTTGTCGAGGATCGGTTCGGCGGCCGCGTACGATCGTGTCTCCATGCATAGACGTATAAAGGAAAGGTGGACTGAAGTAAAGGTGCCTGTGGAAGCATCAAGTCGAGTCATAGCCGACCGCATGGGCGCAATAGCCAGGCTCGCCTGTAGTAGTCAGCATCTCATGCAGCGAATAGCATTTTGTCCGACCTACAGAATCACATGCCCGCGCAATCGCCTCGGTCTGCTCGACGAGGTATCTCCACTCTTTCCCAACATAGCGTAGTTGTATAGGGTCTGCTGTCTCCAGGAAGAGCACCAGCTGATTCCATAACGTACCACCGGGCTGCAGTGTATCGGGTACGTTTCTCTTCTCGAGGATAGCGGAGATGCGGTGGCGGAGAGCAAAGGCGTATGCTATTGAGTTCACAGCGGGGTTGAGTATCTGTAAATTCAGCGGTATACAGGTTGTTGCCTTCAGCTATCCTTACCGAAAGAACGTCTTGGGTTGTATTTGCGCTCTTGGACCATTGTGACGACGGGATGTTGTTCAGTTGCGAGACAAATGATCGAGCCTTCGAGTCATATTCGCGCCGCTTTGCGAGGTCTGGGCTGTCTGGCTGAAACGACAGCAGTATAGAGGTGAGTTCGGCCGACATTGTCGCGTCGGTGTGGAGGGATCTTGTGGTTCGAGCACGTAGGCAAGGCGGAGGCGGCGACGTAGGGTGGGGTATCGTATCGTTGTTGCCTGCGTATTGCCGGTGCAGTGTGTTGGATCGGCTCCAGTAAGTATTCTAACCCGAACGGAGGTATCAGGTTGAATAGCGAGGACAGAGGTGTGTTGTTGCTGCAATTAAATGTGTTTGTCGAGGCGGAGGTGACATAGCTCTCCGCGTCCGCGAGCTCAAGGCACCTACGCACGGACGACAAGCAGTTACCCCACTAGGTGCCACCTTCACTTCGCTGTGGCGGTGCACCAACTTCAGCAAAGTATCTCACAAGACAAAAGTTGAGCAGGCCTATGTGACCGGGCTACTGTTGCCAGATACGTCCTTGTCTGTTCTATTGACATAGCCTCACTATACTTCTTTTCTACGCAAGTTAGAACTATCCATGAGTACGTCTAAACTATACCTAAGTACATTTCGACACGCAGGATGGAGAGCCATAGTTTCACTAAACCAATTCCGATCCGTCTCTGAAATTGTTCGTCTCACTTTCCGAAACACTTCCGGTGAAAACAGTGCTACACCTTCCAGCCCATTTCGACCGCTTCCTCCCTCGCCGTCAGGACTACTGGCAATACGTCGTACCTGGGCTCCGAATCTATATCGCCCGGACGCGACTTCTGCTTGTAGATTCGGACCATCTCTATGAGTCCCAAGCCAGGGTATCCGTGCTCATCCTCTTCATCGCTATTCCCGTCGTTCTCCTCGACTTCTCCAGCTTTCTTGGCCATCGTTCCGCGCGTTCTCGGCCCAGACATTATGACGGGATCATCCTCCTTCGGCCTGCGTCTGACACTTTTATGCGGTTCTGCGATAGCAGCGGCCAGCACATCATCGTCTGATTCCTCCGAATCGTCCACGAGCTCTATTTCCGGTGGAGCCAGAGAAGCGTATGGGTTCAGCGCGTCCCCAGAATACGCAGGCGAATAAATCGGTCCAAGCCTGTTCAAGACATGTGTGGAATACTCGGACTCTTCATCGCTTACTTCCAAGATATCAGTCCCCGGGGGCTGGACCAACGTAGCTTTGATAGTGGCAGCAAAGTCTGCCTCAACCGTTCCTTTCCCTCTGCCCTCAATATGAACTTGCTTAACTCCACGAATACCCATTAGCGCGTTCGCGAGAAGCTTCTCCGTGCTGTTGAGCTTGTAGGGTAGCTTCTCTCTCTCCTCGTCGGACAGCTTGCCGTCTGCAAACTTCTTCAGTTTGTCGTTTACAAAGGCAGATAGGAATGGCGATATGAGGTGGTAGCTGTAACGCGTGAGCAGTATGTTGCCTTTCACGACTAGGCGAAGGGTTTGTAAGTCGTGAGGATTGGTAGCATTGTCGGGATGTGCGTGTAGCTTGTTGAGTGCCATTGCGAAACGGTCCTCCGTATATGCGAACAGTTTAGTTGTGTCGAGATGGACCTCTAGAGTTTTCATGCTCCGCAGATACTCTTCGGATCCATCAGCCATAGTGAAGTAGTCATTGCAATCGGCCTCGTCTTTGAGTACGACATGGTCGAATTCGCCACGTGTTTTGAGGGACAGGATCGGGTTCGATTTCTGCTTTGGCTTTGAGACCGGTGGGGCCAGAGTGATGTTGTCGAGCATATCTTCCTCCTCCTCTTGCGATGCGCTGTTGCGAGTCTTACGCCTTCCATGTCCATCGGACAAGGAAGATTTTGTGGGCACACTGGCTTTCTTAGGACGTGCCATACTTTACTATCAAGCTGATCGACGTGTGTGGGGGTGTGATTGCGAACCAGGGCCTCTGTTGAAATGGAGATGTGGAAGTCAGAGGTTGGATCTAAAAAGGGTCTCAAGAGGAGTGCGCGCAAGTGGACTGGTGAATAAGGGGAGTGATTACCGTCAATCTACCTTTATAGGTCATGGAAAACAGCCGTGAAAAGTCTCCAGCATGACCAAGTCATCTCTAGAACATGTAGAGACACTCAAAGTGACTGCTCGATGCTACGTGTTCAGCGCTGTCAGAGGACTCTTTCACTATACATATCGTCTGATACATCAGATGGCATATTGCAATGAGCAGTGTCGTTTCGTACCCGTTTGAAACTAGGAGAAACACCACGACAATTACCATCTCAGAGTGACGCCGCGCTTTCACGATGAGAATCTTGAACTACCATGGAATTCTGGTCGTCGCCAGCTTATTGTAGTGTATCTGTAGTGCCCCCACTTACAAGCGCTTTCTCGTAGGCTCTCCACCACAATCCCAGATTCGCCGCGACTAGTAAGTCCATCATTTTCAAGCCTTCGTCTTCCAGAATTATCTTTCCCAACTTCGCTTGCTTGCCACCAAACCCGCCACCTGCGAATTCCTGGCCTAAAGAAAGATCTAAGCGATCCAACGAACTTCTAGCGTCTTCGGTGGTGTCATCGCGACTGACTGATAAAGAGGAGTTGTTGCGGCTGTGTCGTGCTTTGCGGAAGAATGACGAGCGTTTTGAGCCTTCCTCGCCTCTGGGTGTAGTGGGTTTGGGACTACTCGGGAGGTTGAATCGTAGCTCACTAACCGTCATGGCTGTGGGCGGCGCTCCTTGGAGCCCTGGAACAACATGTCGACACTACCAGAGTAATTAGCATCATCTGTTGACGATCATCGAGACAGGAGTGGCATTACCTTCAAAGATCCGCCACCTACTCCCGTGGTGAATTCACATCGCCCATTCCACGGACTTGTAAACACATACCCACGGAAACTGGTTTGCCTATCCGAGACCTGAATGCTAGCATATGACTGGTCTTGCCTAGTCACGAACGGAGGAGTTGGAGACGGTCTCATGTCTGTCGATGTGGAGTTGGTCTGCGCGCAATAACTCCCCCTTGAGTCAGGACGTCCGGTGTCGTAGTCATACGAATTAAGCTTCCGATGTCCAAAGCCGCCTATGTGCTGCGATCCTTCCATCCATATGCGTCGCCGGAATACGTTCTCGTTCGTAGACAGATGAGCCCCCGTCTGTTGTTCTGACGCTGCGTTATGTGATTGTATTGACATGTCGCTATCTCGTGTTGTTAAAGGGGGCTTGTTCGTGGTGTCGGAATGCAGAAATTTGGAATAGCCAGGATTGAAAACTTCGATATACATCGGTGCTCCCAACTTCTTCTTCATGCCAGGATCATTCGATGTCGATGAGACATTTAGGACAGGTGGATCTTCAATGCGAGCAACATTCCACTGCGCGCCAGATGCGGGATCTCGCCGGATAAGGGTGAGCGATGCACTGGAGCGTGACGGATTCTCCGATCGTCTACGTGGCGACGCTGTCGGTCTTCGGTTTTCCTGTTGGTACTGGCTTGCATCGAATGAGCGTCGTGGGCTGTGGCTATACTCTGGGGCGAGCATTACAGATCTCCGCGCATAGTTGCCTGCATCAGTGTTCTGGTTGTTGGAGTAATTATTGATAGGCGCCAGAGGGCTAGGAACGGGCTTCCGTATAGGAGCTGTGTTTATGCCGGGTACTGCTTTCCTTGGGACGATGGGCGCAGAGACGCGATTAGAAGACAGTTGGCTCTCTTGCGCATAATCTGGATCCTGGAATCCAGGAGGGTCGACAAGGTAAGCATCTTCTGGTTGCTCAACGTGGACGAAATAGAGTGAGCTTTGTATGTCTTCTGCGGTCACCACCTTTTCCCGCGGCTTCATCGGAGATAAGAAGACATCTGAAGCACGTTAGGTTTACTGTAGGAGAAGACATGTTGACAGCCGTACCTCTGCTGCCAGGAACACGGGCGATGTACAGTACTAGCGGGTCATGCCTCTCATGAGTAGGATTCCTTGGGTAAGCTGGTGGATTTGAGGCAAGAGCGGTAAGCGATGAAAGAGATCTGGCTTCGATGATCGGCGTAGCCATTAGAGCGAAGGTATTAGCTGTTTTGATATGTGGGATAGCGCTGAGTATATGGAGTTGTCAGGTGATTGCCAGCAGGGCGTTGCCTAGGATATATACAAGGCGACGACGGCGAGGTTGTGCTTGGGCTCGGGTGGCTGTGCGTACGCGTCTCCACCGACTATCATGTACAACAAATGAATTGTCTTGGCCTATCGTTGTGAAGCGCGAGAGGCAAGCGGCTCTGACAGACGCGCATCACCCATGGACTCGCGGCGCCTTGCCGGCAGCGAGGCTGATGCTGGTGATGGCACCTGGGAGCACGCGAGTCTGCTTCGCGTTAAGCCAGAATGGTCGGTGGCTGGGGCGGCGAGGGTCTATTGGCGGGTGGGTCTGATCTTGGAAGGGCCCTAGCGCTGAAAGTCTGCTCGAAATCTTGGCTTTCGTTTTGACCTCGATTTTCGCGACCCGCACACGACACGCTCGCCCCGCCAACTCTGCGCCCTCTACCCGTCTGAAACAGGACATATCACATTACGAAAAGGATCCTGCGTCTATCGTCCTCGCAATGGGCGACAATCTCGAGGTATGCACCGGGCAGTCTCCTGTCGCCTGCTCTCGCCGCTAACTGAGAGCTGCAGGAGCGTCTAAAGAGCCATGCTCGTGCCTTTGAGGGACTCATGTCTCTGATACCCGCCAAAGACTACTATGGCAAGGATGAGAGCATCACCAGCGTATGCATCTCTTCACCTCAGGCATCCGCCTTGTACTGACATGAAGTTCGCAGACGCAATGGCAAAAGAAAGGCAAGAAGCAGACTCTCGAAGAACGACAAGCAGCCAAGCGAGCGAAGCTGGATCCTGCCTCCCACAAGAGCGCCAAAGACGTCATGGACGAGAACGCGCTAAAACGGAAGCGTGAATTGGAGGGTGAGGAGGTTTCCGAGCCCGAGTCGTCCGATCTTGACATGGACATCACAAAGGAGAAGCCTCTTGAGGGCATCAAGAGCAAGGCAAAGAAGCAAAAGACACAGCCTGTTGAGCCAGAAGCCGAAGAAGAGACCGAAGAAGTCACTTTGTCCAAGGCGGAGGCCAAGCACGCGGCGAAAGCAGAGAAGCGGAGAGAAAAGAGGAAGGAGAAGCAGGCCAAGAACAAGCAAAAGCTGGAAGCGAAGAAAGCGCTACCAACGCAGTTCCAAGGTCTCGCCGCCGAAAAGTCTGAAAAGGACGATGACGAGGACGAGGATGAAGATGAAGAAGACGACGCGTCTGCAGACGAACTCGAACATCCAGACGAACGCATAGAGGCCTTGGACGTCTCCGGTCTCGTCGAAGAGGGTCAGTCTACTGCTCCCTCCACTACTGCCAATTCCAACTCCTCCACAGCCTCCGTCGCCTCCGCCGCTTCGTCAAATTCTTCACTACCCCAGTCCGGTGAGGAAGCGCCACAGAAGAAGGCTAAAAAGCCATACACGATCGATCCACAGAAACATGAGGATTTCCGCGCTCGGTTGAACGCGAAACTAGAGGCCATGCGCGCGGCGCGAAAGGCTGACGGCCCAGATGGACGCCCTGCACGCAACCGAGCAGAGCTGATCGAGGCGCGCAGGAAGAAGGAAGCCGAAAAGAAGGCCGCGAAGAAGGCCATGCGTCAGGATGCGAAAGAGGATGAGGCGCGACAGCAAGCAGAGGAACAGCTCGCACGGATAAGAGGCGGTTCGGGCTCACCTTCTGTATTCCCAGCGAGGTCGCCGGAGACTGAGCGCAACTTCAACTTTGGCAAGATCGCATGGGACGGCCAACAGCTTGAGAGCAATCTCTCTGGATTCCTCGACTCCAAGAAGAAGAAGGGCAAGTCAGATGCGAAAACAGCACTAGAGGCTGCGCAAAAGAAACAAGCTCGCATTAACGCCTTCGACGAAGACAAGCGCAAGGATATTCAAGAGAAGGATCTATGGCTGGCCGCCAAGAAGAGGGCACAAGGCGAGAAGGTCTTCGACGACGTCAACCTTCTGAAGAAGAGCTTGAAGCGTCAACAAAAACAAAAGGACAAGAGCAAGCAAGAGTGGAAGGAGAGGCTCACGAACGTCGACCAAGGAAAGGCCGCGAGACAGAAGAAGAGGGAGGAGAACCTCAAGAAGCGCAAGGAGGACAAGGGCCAAAAGGGCAAAAAGAAGGTCAAGAAGCCTGGCAAGAAGGTCAAGCGACCGGGCTTTGAGGGAACATTCAAGGCGAGATGATCATGAGGCTGGGCGGGATCAAGGTATATAAAAGGAAAGGGTGGCGGCATGCATACTATAGGCAGGCATTTGGCGTTTGATACCATATCATGGCAGGCATCGTATGAGCGTTAGGAGTATTATGATCTTGAATATTAGGTTGTCTTCTCTCGATAATGTTTGTTCAATGCCATAACTGTCTTGCAAATCAATAGTAATGCATCTAGTTGGACCCCAACACACTAGCACGTCCGTCATTTCCATGTTTCTCAGTGTCTTCTTGAACACGGACTCAGTGAGCTTGGTATTGTTTACTGATGCATTGACAAAAGAAATCTGACTGGCTGTGTCAGACGCAACCGCTCCTTATATGTACAGTAATTCCAAATCGCTCCCGTCCATTATCTGTAAGGCGCATCCGCGCGAGCAGCTGCGGCAATCTCGGACTCCCACTTGTCTCCGTTTGCTAGCAACTTCTCCTTGTTGTAAAGTAGCTCCTCGCGGGTCTCAGTCGCATACTCGGCATTGGGTCCTGTATCAAATTAGCACTTGGTCCGCGTACTCAGAGAGCGTGTCGACATACCCTCAACAATGGCATCGACTGGGCAGCTCTCCTGGCAGAGACCGCAGTAGATGCACTTGGTCATGTCGATATCATAACGTGTGGTCCTCCTACTACCGTCCATGCGCTCTTCGGCCTCGATTGTGATGGCTTGCGCAGGGCAGATGGCCTCGCAGAGCTTGCAAGCAATGCAACGCTCCTCACCGGTAGGGTACCGTCGCAGGGCGTGTTCGCCTCGGAAGCGGGGCGAGATAGGGCCCTTCTCGAATGGGTAGAAGATGGTGTATCTTCAGAAACGTCAGATTACCGTATTGCGAACAAGTGGCAAACGAGCAGTCTGCTCATTGGAGTACTCACGGTGGGCGGAAAAACTGCTCCAGCGACACATACATGCCACGGAACATCTCCATGAGCAAGAAGTACTTGCCGGCGCGGTCCAATGCACCTTCTCCTTCATCCCATCGCTTGGGCTTGGGTAACCGGAAGCCTGGCGGCGGGGGTCCTGCTGGGGTGGCGGCTCGGGATAGGGTGGTAGAGAAGAAGGCGACGGTGGCGGGCGAGGGGAGGCGTCCAGACGCGAACTGTGGTGACCGGAGCAGCGTAGCAGCTGGGCGGCTGCGTGCCAACATTGTCAATGGCTTTGCGCTGGCCATTGTGAGCGTGGTGGAGTCGCTGGCGGGTTGGGGGGTTGCTGGCGGATATGGAGGTTGTCGTCAAGCTCGAAACTTGAGGTCGTCGCTTGTAACGCGGAGGCTGCGATTGGCCGACAAGTCCAATGACGGCAACAACGGTGGGAGGCAACTCCGAGGTCAGAAATTTGACTCAGGTGATGTAGCAGGGTATATGAATGATTTCCAAGTCTTTCTCGGATATCCGTGTTACCTGTTGCGATAATTCAAGGTGCGCCTGTTCACTCGTACGGAAATGCTCTTGACGGCTGACTAACGTAATGTAACTTTAGTCTGAAGTTCTAGTCGAGCATCAACATCACCACCACCACCGACCTTGCTACCTCGCACGACGCACTCCTAAACCGTCCACCATGTTCCGAACAGCACTCCTCAGGTCCGCCCGATCCGCCGTCCGCGCTGCCCCACGATGCCAGGCCGCAATGGCTCGCCCCGTTGCGCGAAGCTCCTTCGTCCAGCCAAAGCAAATGAACCCCTCCGTATACTTCCAGGCCGTACGATGCTACGCCGCGAGCGCCGGTCTGTCAAAAGATGAGGTCACTGGCAGGATAATGGACCTTTTGAAGAACTTCGACAAGGTAATGGGTATGCGACGGGAATTTTAGAAAGTGGCTAACGCAGAAGCAGGTCACCGATGCCTCCAAGGTAACTACCAACCGCGCGTGAGGGATTGGAGACAAAGGCTTACATTTTGCAGCTGAACGCCGAATCGCACTTCCACAACGACCTCGGTCTCGACAGTCTGGATACCGTAGAGGTGGTCATGGCGATTGAGGAGGTTAGTCGGTCCGCGTACGATACACGGAAGGCAAATCTGACAGTGAGGCAGGAATTCAGCATTGAGATCCCCGACAAGGAGGCCGATGCCATCCACAGCGGTACGTTCAGATGCAGGGTCGGAGATATACATACTGATGATATCACAGTCAAGCAAGCAGTGGACTACATCATGGCCCAGCCCGATGGTGAGTCGCAACTTGAAAATCCCGAAGTTGCCCCAAACTAACACATCGCAGCTCACTAGATTATATTGGAGAGCCGCGCTGGATTGGAGATGATGGATGTGGAATTGAGAGTCGGTCCTACCGGCATCGCTATATATATGCCCCCGTGTAAAACAGTCGCCTGGGTCGGCACCGTGTACTTCTGATAGAATTGACGCTATCCACCTCCCAGTGCTTTGGCTATTGTGTTGTTGGACGCCTGTTTACTTGATCTCCGAAGCGTGCGTAACTAATCTTGGCACATCCGAGACCGACACCCTGTCCGCTGATTGATGTGGCACGAGAATCAACCCCCAACGCGTAACTCACACAGGCGCCTTGCGATACCCCTTATTCTTTACATCGCCGTGCCCGCTACTCTCTCCTACATCGCACTCACCGAAAGTCCCACATAGTCCGACACCGCGCATGCGCAGCCCAAGCGCCCTCATCCCTGCGCCCGTTGAGGAGCATCACGCATAATTTCAACAAGACCCCCCTCCCGTTCCACAACCACACCTGATGGCTTCTAGCTCTGGTCTGACGCGCCGGAGAGGAGGCGGCGGCGCTGCTGGCAACGGCGAGGACGAGAGCAGCCGGGTCAGCTCGCCAGCACCCAAGCGCAACGACGACCGCACCCCCGAAACCTCCTACGAAAGCTCCGAGAATGGCCACAAGATCGCATTCGACCCCCGGGACATCAGCGAAAATGCAGAGAGGAGCAAACAGCCCAAGCTGACACTCATGGAGGAAATCATCCTCATGGGGCTGAAGGACAAACAGGTGTGTACACGGCAGGGCGCTGGTGGGCTAGGGGCAGCAGGCTGATGAGTGAGAATAGGGATACCTGTCGTTCTGGAACGACAACATCTCGTATGCATTGCGAGGCTGCATTGTCATAGAATTGGCCTTCCGAGGCCGCGTGAGCATGCAAAAGGACTCGAATCGGCGACGGTTCCCCCTCGCAGACCGGGTCATCGAGGTTATTGACGACACGTTGACCGGAGAGGTTCTGCTGGACGAGGCCCTCAAGATGATGAAGTCGAGCGAGAAGATGAGCGTCAACTCGTGGATCGACCTCATGAGCGGTACGTCTGCGGCGCGCAATCCCAAGGCTGGTGCTCGGTACTAACTACACACACAGGAGAGACGTGGAACCTCATGAAGATTGGCTACCAACTAAAACAAGTACGCGAACGACTATGCAAAGGCCTCGTCGACAAGGGCATCCTACGCACCGAGAAGAAGAACTTCCTCCTGTTCGACATGGCTACACATCCCGTCGCAGACGGCGGCGCAAAGGAGGAGATTCGACGCAGAGTCCGGAACGTCCTCACCAACCGCACCGTCGTCCTCCCCGGCAGCCAATTCCTCCCCGAGGAGTTGGAATTCAGAGTGCTCCGAACAATCACCATGGTCTGCGCCGCCTATGCCGCCAACGTCCTCGAGAATGCCCTAACAACGCTGGGTCACGAAGCGCGGGAACGGGCTTTTGCTCAAGTGGACGAGCTGCTGGCAGAATATTCGCAGTGGCCGTTTGCAAAGAGGCAGGGTGGCTCGCAGGGTGTGGGCGCAAACTTGGGTCAGCTCATCACGGACGAAGTTAACGGTTCCAAGGATAAGGAGCTCCAGCTTGAGGTAAGTCAATCGGACTTTAGCTTTTCCTTTATTTGACAGAGCGCTAATCATGTTACAACAGGTTGTCGCAGCGTGCTTGAGTGTGTTCACTCGACTTGACTCACTGCTTTGAGCGGAGGGAATGTAACGAGAGCAGTGGTATTACTGAGCAACAGGGGAGCGCACGTCTCAGCAGCGAACCTGCACGTTTGAGTATCTATCGCAAGCAAAGCAGACGCATATAGCCGGCGAACTTGTAAGCGGCGGCGTGTCCGGGCCGGGACTGGATGGAAATGTTTAGGTATTGTCAGTTTCTAGCATTGATGCAACTAGGATGGATCTGGAGGCGAGGGCGTCAGAGTGCGGTGACGAGGTGTACTACCAGACGCTTCTTATCTTCTTCTACTAGGCGGGTCTTTCCATAAAATACAACCTTTATTCGATAACGAACAAGGTCCACTGCATTACACGAGTGGCTTTTCCTCTGAGCTTACCGGTCTAGGTAGGCGCTAGCATTCGTCATGGCGTCACACGTGATGGCCTGCGTGGAGACGATGGAGTGCAGGTGTAATTATGTGGAACAGTCGATAGAGCATGGCCTCTGCTTTCGTGAAAAGAACCACGCCGGGCAGAGACGCTGGGTGCGTGGGAGCTCGCCGACGAGCTTCAGTGTGGTCATGGGCTGGCTGGCTCGGCGCTCGCAAGCGGCGGGAAGTGGGAGCGAGGCGCAAATCCATCAATGCCTCTGCCTGACACACAACACATCATTCCGAGCTTATCCACGGCCGCGACCCCGCCCAAGGTACCGCAGCAGGTGTTTCGCCGATTTAGGTTTCCTGCCAATACTCTCGCCTGTGAAAGGCTTACAGACGGGCTGCTGCGCGCTTGACTACCCGATCGGCACTTCTTTCCCTGGACAGCCAAACAGAGGCCCAGCCCAGCCCTGTGACCTGTGACGACGCGCAAATTGCATGCTCGCAAAGGTATGTGTTTTTTCTATTGCTGCTATTTATTCGCGTGATCGCGGCGCGATGCATGCGCTTTCTGGAGATGGCGGCGCGGGTGTTGCTGTCGCCATCGCATCGCACGTCCGCCCCCTTCTTCTGGCAGGCGCGACCGCTTGGGACGCCCATTGACCCACTCGAGCCTCCATCACTCCTTCCAGCCTCCATGCCTCGGCTCTAACCAGGGCAGCAACACGCAGGTCGCTCCTGCTGCGCGCATCCACAGTTCCTACGCGATGCCCTCCCCGCCGCTAGCCGACTCTCAGTCCCTCGATCCCGCCCACGGCGCGTCCACCAACGGCATCAACAGTGAAGGTGCTGTCCAGCCCGCCAACGCCCCGACCAGCATCAATGGACCCGACGGCGCGTCCAACGACAACAACGCGATTCGAGACGGCAAGCAGAAAGCCAAGGCCGTCATGGCCGCCTCTGGTCTGAACCTCGCCGGCGCGCAAGGCGACACGGCATCGCCCGCGCAACCCGAAGCCATCAACGGCGCGTCGCCCAGCAGAAAGCGATCGCGTTCGGGCACCCGCAAGTCATCACGCACGCCTTCCCACGACGGCGGCGCGAAACCCACAGCCTCGCAGACGCACCTCCTCAACCGCTACATCGAGCGCGACCTCTTGGATAGCGTAAACAAGTACGAGCGCAACAAACATTCCGAGAAGGTCTACGGCGAACTCAACGACCTGCGCCACTTCTACCGCGACGAAGTATATCCGGTCCGACGACAGAACCCCGGCGCCATCTTTGGATATGGCTACGCTGGCTACGGCAACGGCCTGACCGAGATACCTCCCGACCCCAGAGACCCGCGCGCCCTACCGCAAACCAAGCTGCTATACCCGGAAAACGCCAAGCGCGCTGGCCGTCGACTCGCGCTGCAGCTCAAGGTTTCGAAAGAGAAGGGGCTCCAACAAGCAGACCAGATTGAAGAGCTGGTACCTGTGCGTTTGGATATCGAATTGGATAGACTGAAGCTTCGCGATACTTTTACCTGGAACCTCCACGACCGCGTTACCAACCCCGTGCTCTTCGCCCAAACCCTCGTCGAAGACTTCCAAATACCACCCGAACTGCGTCAGAACGTAATGCAGCAAATCGATCGCGAAATCCACGAGCAGGTACAAGACTACTACCCCCACGCCTTCTTCGACGACGAGCCACTGGATCCACATCAGCCATACTCGGCATACAAGAACGACGAGATGCGGATATTGATCAAACTGAACATTACCATTGGCCAGCACACCCTCGTAGACCAGTTCGAGTGGGAGATCAACAATCCTCTGAATGCGCCTGAGGAGTTTGCGAGACAGATGGCCGCCGACTTGTCACTATCCGGAGAGTTCACAACCGCAATCGCACATTCCATAAGAGAGCAGTGCCAGATGTTTACAAAAAGTCTTTACATCACAGGCCATCCCTTCGACGGGCGACCAGTCGAGGATACAGACATACAAGACAACTTCCTGGCATCTCCACTTCCCTCCGTATTCCGCCCGATGCAGTCAACAAAGGACTACCAACCCTACCTTTACGAACTAAGCAATGCGGACCTGGAGCGAGCCGAACTTTCAATCATGCGCGAACAGCGACGCCAGAAGCGTTCCGTCAACAGACGCGGTGGCCCTGCCCTGCCAGACCTCAAAGACCGCCAACGGACTGTTCGGACGTTGGTCGTTTCATCAGTGCTGCCTGGCGCTGCGGAAACGATTGAGGACAGTCAACTCTTCAAGGCCACGCGCAAAGCCAGAGAAGGCCGTCGTCGCGGTGCTGATGGCAGCTCAGACGACTCAGATAGTGATGATTCAGTCATGGAGTCTCCCGCACCTGCTCAATTGATGACTGGAGGCACTGCTCGTACCCGTGGTATGCGCGGAGCTGCTACTGCTGCTCAAGCTGCGATGCGATCCGCCATTGGAAGATCAGCAACTCCCGAAGTCTCGAATATCCAAACACCCCATCACGAGCCACGGGCGTCGAGGTCCCTACGGTATGAAGCGCGGGAAGAGAGCGTATCTGAACCCACATCACTAATAGTCAAACTCCGGATAACGCCCGCAAAGTTCAGGGAATGGGTAAGGAACCCAAGAGCTTTCGTAAAGCCCGCTGGAACTCCCATGATGACACTCTCGCAACCACCAACGCGGGGTACGCCTACCGCAAACTCGATGCCTCCTCCACCGTCACCCGCCATGCCTTCCCGCTCCACACCGACAGTACCGACATCCGTTGAAGCTTCGCCGAAGCCACCTTCCACCCCCACACCAACGACACCGAACAAGCAATGGAATTACAAGCCGGATGGCTCATTGGAAGCACCTTGGCCAACGCCCGCCGCTTCACAACATGTAAGATATCTCCTTGCTTCCATGTAGTCATATCTGACCCATAACAGCCTCCCACTCCCCCATGGCTCCAAAAAGCGCTCCAAGACCTACGCGATAAGAATCCCGGGGAGCTCTTCGAATCTACCATGCGCTACGCAGTCATGAACGAGCGCCACGAGGACCCGAAGACTGGCGAGATGGTGTCCAGACAAGTCAAGCTAGATACACTATCTCCAACCGCTCCTCTGCCAGCGAACCACAAAGCGTATTTCCTCCCGCGAATCCGATGCATAGACTGCCCAGGAAAGCTGTACAACGCTGGGCCCGAACAAACGGTCAATAATTTTGAATTACATCTGAAGAACCGCGTACACATGGAGAACGTGCGCAAACGGACTGGTCAGCCATTGTAGGCTTAGCATTCAGATTGCCTGTCTGCGCAAACAGGAAATGATATTCAGATAAGCATAGCGGGGTCGTTTTCATATTGGCAAGCGCATCCAGGGTATAGAAACCCGTGTAAAAACAGCGGATCACGTGGAGTTGCGCATACGGACAACGTGCTTGTCTATCGGCGTTCTCATTTGTCGGCTACAACTCGGAAATTTGGGCCCCTCTTGGATCATAGCACGGAGGGTTGGCATAGTTTGAAGTCTTCGTCATTACGCGGCACTATTTTGAGTACCTTCCTTCTTCTCTTAGTTACTGGTGTCGTTTGTAAAGTATAAGTAGGGTTGGTAGTCTTCGACGCAGCGATGTAGGTAGGCGTCAATTACAGCTGTTCATATCAAGGCCGTGCAAGTTCCATCTCTCGATACTGTGAAGGCCTCTATTCATCTCCTTACCACAAGCCTTCTTCGCAGTCGTTGCTAGAGAGAACATCGTCCCCGCTTCACTCCGTCACGTGTTCGGTTCCGGCAATAGGTACCTACCTAGCCTGTCGTCATGATGCTTAACGCAGCGCTTCTCGTCACCACCCTGCTCGCCATCATTATGAAAGCACAGGCTGCTACTCTCCCAATCCGAATCTTAACCCACAACATCCGTTATGCCGCCGACCCACCAGCCACAGGAGAGAAGCCATGGTCAACACGGAAACAGCTGATCCTCAACGAGCTGCACTACAACACTCTCCACAACCCCGAAGCCTTCATCTGTCTGCAAGAAGTGCTCAATGAGCAAATCGTCGACATAATGGCCGGTCTCGGCAACGAATGGGCTTACATCGGCGTCGGCCGCGACGACGGCAAAACCGAAGGCGAATACAGCCCCGTCATCTACCGCCCAGCCGTCTGGGAACTCGTAACCTGGAAGACCGTCTGGCTAAACGAAGACGGCGCCGTTGGAAAGAAAGGCTGGGACGCAGGCTCCGTTCGCATCGTGACCATCGGCACGTTCAAGCACACGACAAGCAAGAAGGAAATAGTAGCTATGTCAACGCATTTCGACAACGCCGGCGCCATCTCGCGCCGCGAATCTGCGAAGATCATCGAAGGAATTGCCGCGGACATCGCATCACCGGCGTCAAACTTCTCGTCTACTGGCCTGCCTTTCTTCCTGGCTGGCGACCTCAACTCTGAGACTACGGATGATGCGTACATGATGCTGAACAACGCGTCGTCTCTCTTGCAGGATACGAAGGAGCAGGCTAAGTGGCTGTATGGTGATGAGAATACGTATACGGCTTTTGATGATGTGGATAAGGCGCTGATTGACTTCGTGTTTGTGGGTCCGAGGGGAGAGGGCGATTGGGGTGTTGAGGGGTATAGTGTGTTGCCGAATCGGTTTGAGGATGGGGTTTATGCTAGTGATCATCGCGCGGTGGTTGTGGATGGGGTTTTGGAGGTTTAGAGAGGATGATGGAGATGTTTCTGGGGATGACACTATGATCTTACCTAGGTACATCATGAAAGCAATTCCGTATCGATGAAATACCCATAGATTTGCGGAAAATTGCGCTTGCTCTGTAAAGATTCTTTGGGAATGCGAAGTACATCATAAGAGTGAGGATGGTATGATGCGATTTCAATAGCATGGATGTGTTCATTTGCCAGGAACACTATATTCGATGTCATCAAATGTCTGGCAGCTGGTGGCACGCTGTCGAAGCTGTCAGCAGCGTGGCATACATACAACAGCATAACCGCAGTGAAGTTGCACTGCAATCATAGAAATGCCAACTTAGGCCATAAATACGAGCTCAAAACCGTGACTCAAATGATCACAAGTCCAGTTTCCATACCCAAGGTGATTAATTCAGGAACAAGCAAAGCAGGTCGAGTGTGACGTTGTCAGGCGATCATCGTCATTGGGCTCTGGCTAAGCGAAAGCTCGAAAGCACCCCACTGAGGGGCTGGCCTGAACACAGGAACGACCTCGCGCACCACTCCAATTCTAGCTCCTAGACCATCTTCCCACACTCAACTATACTCAAGATGGCCGAAACAGCAGCTCCAGGTAAGCTCGATCCTTGTCCGCTACAACTGCCATCGACATGAGAAGCTATTCAGACGAAAATAGCTTTGACCTCAGTTTTGTGCTGTCAATGAGTCGCAGGAGCTAACCCATATTGCAGACTACACTCTGGCGAACCCAGATACTATCACCAAGTACAAAGTCGCCGCCGATATCTCCCAGAAAGTCCTCAAGGAGGTCTCCGGTACGACGCTCCCCGCACCTGCCCTTGTTTCCCGCGCGTAAACACGAACATAAACTGACCAGTCCAGGATGGATCGCCGCTGATGCCAGCATTGTCGAGCTCTGTGAGCGCGGTGACAAGCTCCTAGACGAGGAGGTCGCCAAGGTCTACAAGGGCAAGAAGGTCCTCAAGGGCATTGGACACTGCACCACCATCTCGCCGAGCGCCTACATCACCCCGTACACACCACTCAAGACCGATGCCGAGGAAGCCGCCGTTACACTGAAGGAGGGAGAGGTTGTCAAGATTCAGCTCGGTGCCCAGATCGATGGGTTCTGCGCGATCGTTTGCGACAATGTCATCGTCGGCGCTGCTGACGAGGTCACCGGAAGGGAGGCAGATCTCATTCTGGCTACACACTACGCGAACGAGCTTCTGCTGAGGTTGATGGTACCCCCAGGCTTGGTTCCCCACGGCGACGAGGAGGAGCAAAAGAAGGCTGCGTCAAAGAAGGCCTACACCCAGAGCCAAATGACCAACATGCTTGAGAAGGTTGTCAAGGCCTACGGTTGCAACCTCGTCGAGAGCACCACCATCTGGCAATTCGACCACAACGAGATCGAGTCTAAGAAGAAGATCATTCTTGCGCCCGGCGAGGGTGTCAGAGGAGAGGGTCTCCCTGAGGTCGGCGAAGTGTGGGGTGTTGAGATGGGTGTCAGTCTCGGAAGCGGCAAGGTCAAGAGCAACAGCAACAGGACCACTCTGCACCGACGTACAGCCACCACCTACCAGCTCAAGCGCCCTACCTCGCGAAGCCTGTTGTCTGAAGTTGTCAAGAAGTTCGGCACCTTCCCCTTCAGTCTGCGCCAGCTGGAGGACGAGAAGGCTGCCAAGGTTGGTGTTGTCGAGTGTGTCCGCACAGGTGTGCTCCGCCAGTACGAAGTCGTCGTTGACAAGGACAACCAACCCGTAGCTAGGTTGTTCAGCACTGTTGGTAAGTCCGAGGATTTCCCCTGCTCTGTCTGTGCACGGAGATGCCCGATATTGGCCGATGTGGTCGATTGTTCGATCTCCGTATTTCCACCTTCGTTTGCTTGATTGCGAAGGATCATGAAACTTGCTTCAATAGCTAACAATTCAACAGCGATCACCAAGAACGGCATGCAGCGTCTGGCTCAACCCGCTGCCATCGACACCTCCAAGTACAAGTCTGACAAGAAGATTGAGGACGAGGAGATCCTCAAGATTCTCGAACAGCCCATTGGAAAGACTTCGACAAAGAAGAACAAGAAGAAGAAGAAGAAGCCCGCCAAGAAGGCCGCTGATGGCGGTGCTGCTCCTGCCGAGGAGGAGGAGAGTGACGATGAGGAGTAGACGCAGCTTGCGGAGACCTTGACGCCATACCCGCCTCTCGACTATGAGCCTGGATGACACGGACTTTTTTGGTGACTGCAAAAAACGGCAGGATCGGAAAGAAAATCGGCAAAAGACCCAGGTCTGATGTGCTTTGTCTTGTGCTCGTACACATGATCAAGTAGAAGCGATAACAATCCAAAAAAAAAACAGACACCTATTTACCGGCCAGAATCTTTCGCTTCTTATGCGTGATATTGACTAATGTAGAATCTGATAGCTAACACGCGCGCATCAAAGGAGTTACGGACGGCTCACGGACTGAGATCGTTTCAGGTGGTCTGGGGAGTCTTTGGCAGTCGAACACAGCTTCACCCCGCTTGTGTCCAAGCGACCGTGGACGCGACATACATTTCACTCATTTCAGAAGGGGCTTCTAGTCTTTTGATGTATCTATGGCGAAGGGTGGAGCGGATGTTGGGCGGCTTCGCGTCATTGTTCTTGTCATCGGTTTATCTTTTTCACCAGTCATGTTATTGTCGCCCCCAAACGCCGAACATGGCAAATCGAGAGAGGCTACAAGAGATCCCTGACTATGTTGTTCGCAACAACACACGAAAGTTATGGTGCTCTACGCGGATAGACAAGCATGGTATAGAGTGAGGTAAAGCATGGAACAGAATTTACCCCTGAGTAGATCATGCAAAGGCAGGATTGTGTAATAGAGATTTATCGAAGTGAAGTCAGGAACAATGTCAATACTATCATCTCTATTCAGGCGCGTCCACGTATTGTACGACCCGATCTGCAAGTGGCGATTGGTGAAGGTGAACTTGGGCACGTCAGGGAAAAAGCGGACAAGAGATCGTGGATTCTGTTGTAAGGAGCGATCACATGCTAGAGTAGGTGCTCCTGGGCTAGTGCTAGTCTACATAGTCAGATCCTTCCATACATTCAATGCATCACTTCTACACTCGAACAGATTCTTTGGTATCATTACACCAACACCGCACCCCGCCTTTGTCAGAACTGAAAAAACAATCCAGCAATCGAAGAAGCTTCCGGCTATTCATATATCTCATTCCTGACGACAGTAAGACATGGCGATGTTTGCGCATGCGTAGGGGGCTGACATAATAAGAAGGTCCGTCCAAGCGTCCAGGGCACCCTCGAACAACCTTCAGCGACTCTCATTCCTGCACTACCGACCCACACCGACGGGCACGGCATTGCGGCGTGTAAATTCTCGGACAACACGTGAAGTAAGTCTAACCGTCTTCGTGATTATTATAGCGCGCTGACCAAACTGTAGTTTCGCCATGCCGGCCCTCCGCAAGTCTCTCCGGGAGTCGCGCGACTTCAAATCGCAACAAAGGTCCAGCACCACGCCCTACGCCTCACCCACCGGCACCCCGAGCGAGCACGTCAACGAGAAGAAACAGCGTTCAATTACCGAGTGGACTGAACCCCAACCGCAAACACTGGCCCCATCGTTCGAAGAGCACGGGTTTGCGCGGCACGGCGTCTTGGAGAATATGGCCCCCCTCGGTGTACCTCCCAAGGCCAAGGACAAGCAGCGCGCGCGCGCTCTCGACGGGCCGGCTGCTCGAAATTCGCTATTGGGCAAGAGCTTGGGTTTCGGTGGTGACGAGGTTGGGTCGACGCCAGAGGTCACTCCAGCTCCTGAGCTCGAGCCTGACGACTCGGAGCGGCAGGAGGAGGAAGAGATGCAGGCCGCCTTCCCCATTCTGGAAGACGACGAGGACGACGACTACGAGCCCGCGACAAAACCGAAGAAGAAAGTGAAGGTGTCGAAAACTCCCGTCAGGGGCAAGACCCCAGTGCAGAGCAAGACACCTGTCAACGGCAAGACGCCCACAATGAAAATCGGACACACCAAGAGCGCCTCGGTTTCCGCGAGCCCGGCAGTACAGGCAGTCTCTATGTCGGAGCCAGTTGAGGCCGCGACACAGCGCATTCAGATTGCAGTCAACGATGCGATTTCCAAAGCCAACAGCAACTCGGGCAAGCGCTACGTGGGCATTGCCTTGAGGCGCGCCTACGAGCAGAGCAAAATCGATTCCAACTTGGCAGACGCGATCGAATCAGTTATTCAAAGAAACAGCACCAATGCGCAGATGGTCCGATTTCGCAGGTTCATCAAGCAGTTCAAGCAAGAGGAAAAGGCGAGAATGGGCTTGGGCAAGAACGGGCGCTTTGACCAGCAATCCGCGATGAATCACGGAGCTTCATTCTTCAGTCAGCAACCATCTCCTAGGGCTAGTAGTGAAATTGTTCCTGATGACTCTGCCTCCGCCGTCAACGACTACCAAGATCGAAAGTTCATGGACTCTACTAATTCGGCTACAAGCTTTTCGCACAAAGCATTGCAGTCAGCTCTTGACCAAAATTCGGGTCAAGCACCTCACCCATTCAGCAGCGCACCCGCTCTTCCAGCCACCGCGGATACCTCAAATGAGTCAACGCCGAGACAGCCGTCCAAGTCGCCCAGGAAACGAACCGCTACCAACGGAACCCGGACCCAGGATTCTGCAATGGATGTGGAAGGAGGATTGTCGACCGGGGCACCCACTCCAGTAGCGAGGACACCGGACACCGGTGGGAGCGATTCTGAGCTGTCGGACGTCAATGAAGAGATCGTCCAGAAAGGCCCTCCGGAGCCTGTGCAGGTCAACGGGAAACCTGCTGCACCTGCGCCTGTCGTGCCACCGAAGAAAGGAAAGAATATTGCGGCTGCGCGTGCTGCCAAAAAGATGAAAGGAAATGCCGGAAAGCTGTTCGGGAAGCATGCCTACAAGCAACAGCCACCGACCGCAGAACAGCAAGCGGAAGATGACCGAATCTATGAGATGCGAAAAGCTATGGTGGACCAGCAGCCTATTCGCAAGTTCGAGCAGTTCCCTCCTCCCGTCTCAGATGTTCGCTTTGATGACGAGATTCTTGAGACTGAGTCTCTGACCGACTCTCAAATCGCCGTGGGACCACCAGTTGATTCTGATCAACCACGACGCGCCGGACGAGTTCCAAATCATGGAACCAAGCGCCTGCGAGAGGATCCGTCGCGCTTCTCCTCACCTCAGTTTGAGCCTGCCATGTCGTCGCGTCCTTCAACGCCAGCAGTGGGGCCGGCACCTAAGCGGGTCAAGCTCACCAACGGGCAGGGCGCCAGGACAAAACGATCGTAAGTATCCTCAGCTCATTTTCTCAGCATCCTTGTCAATTTCTCGGCGTTGGTCGATGCATGTACCCGGTTCAGCACAGGGCTGTAAGCGTCGACTGAGCAAGCTCTACGTGTTTGCACGTGTTTGCATCGTACATTCCGTACATGTCATCAAATCATTACAAGGCTAACTGTTACACGTATAGGCCGGTCAAAAACCGAGACGCAGGACCTATTGCTGGTGTAGCCTTTACTGGTGGTGGCGGTTCGAGACAGTTGGGGCCTGATGACAATGACCCGGTAAGTGCCACTGGATTCCCGAAGCATCCAACCACACCATTCCTCTTCCACCACACAACTCATCAACAACAATTTCTCTTTTTCATCCCCAACATCAATGTTGCTCACTACAGACATCACGCCGCTCAAATTTCCATATTCTCCTCCACTTTCTGTCCTTTCTTCACCTCTAACAGAATGTCAGAACTCGCCACAGTCAGAGAGCGACGACTTCTGCTCTGCGTGTAGAGGCGCAGGCGAGTTTGTGTGCTGCGAAAACTGTCCACGCGTCTTTCACCTTCTCTGCTGCGATCCGCCGCGAACAGAGGTTCCAGATGGAGCGTTCTACTGTTATGAGTGCAACACGAAGTTCGCTGCATCCGACGATGCCGCAGAGTCGTATCCTAGCCTGGGTCCCCTCTTCAGCAAGCTTGAGCGCACAAATCCTCGCGCGTTTGCTCTACCTTCTGATATTCAAAATAACTTCGAAGGCGTTTCTGCACGTCCCGACGGCTCGTATTTTGAGGAGGTCAAGAAGTTTCCACTGTAAGTGTGACGCGTTCTGTCGCGTGATTTGGCACTAACATCACAACAGAGCGAAGAACAGTGGCTATGGCTACCAGAAGCCTGAATACACCAGACTTATTGATGCTGACCACAAAGTCATTTTATGCACGCAGTGCGGAGTGTCGAGCGGCCACAAGCGTCAAATGCTGAAGTGTGACTTTTGTCACGCGTACTGGCACTTGGACTGCGTCGACCCGCCTCTCGCTAACCCACCACACATCAGCCTTGAGGCATCGCAGCGGGATGCCTGGAGGTGTCCTCGACATATCGAACATGACCTTCGCAGCGGTTTACTGCTGCAGAACGACCTGAGTTCCAAAGATGGGGATTCTGAAATGGCCGATGCCGCGCCGGTAACTCGGGTGCCACGCAGAGTGCGAGTGCGCAAGCAACCCGAATATGTCGAGCCCACCTTTTCACGTGGCATGCGCAACAATGGCTTGATCGATATCACTAACGATCCCGACGACGACACTGATGGCGAAGGCAATTATGTGTTTGGTGACAACGATCCCAAGGATGTCAACTCCAAGGTCTTCCGTGTTCCGGAGAAGGGAGTCATCCTTGACTTCGTCAGCAAGGTCAAGAGGTATACACAGTCACATCAGCAGCTCATTAAACTAGTCACTAACACATTGCAGTGGCCGTGTAGTCAAGAAGGCCGAAGCCCGCAAGTCCGCAGAGGCTGCATCACAGCGCAGAGCGTCCATGCAAAATTTCCTTGCGCACAACTTCCAGCAGCAGCAAGCAGCACTATCTCTGGCACAGCTGGCAAACAAGACGCCAGAGATGAACCTGGGTGAGGGCACAGTTCAAGCGCTCATCCTCGCTCTCACTGTAAGACAACCTGTGGCCCACCGGCCTTGTTTTGATCCTCGGCGCTAATCCACGTGAAACAGTCCGAAGCTCCCCCGGCCGTCATCACCGCCATGTCCAACGCAGACCCACCACCGCCCACTGATGACGAGCGCGCGCAGTTGAAGATGCTGCAGCA